TTGCATCGTTTTAATTTCATGTATTATTTTTCACTGTGTGCTTTAAATATAAAATTTAACGAAAAATTATTAAAATCCTATAAAATCATGGTGTACGCAATTTTTTTATGATACATGGTAATAAATGTGTTTTTCTAGGTCTCTTTAGGATAACTTTAAAGATAATAGCCAATGTATTCAAGAAACAGAAAGAGAAAGGAATCAAAAGATCTCTTTCATGCATTTTAAAGCCGTTAACTGATTTTTTTAAAAAAAATATCATTAAAAGATAAATTGCACTTCATTATCTGGTTCCTGATCTTTCGATGCTGTTACTTGTACTTGCCAAATCACTTCAAAATTAGTTAAATCGATTAGAATAAAATAACACCCTTAAAACTTTTTCTAAACAAGACGGCCCTTTGAAAGCGAGCTGTATTTTTGGTAAGTTTCTATACATGTTCTAAATATATGTTGGAAGTAATCTGAATATGACTTTATGGAGAGTCCATCAGTTTTGAATTTCTAGAATTATTGAGCTGTATTAAAATTTATAATTACTTTTTATTCTTTTATATTTGATTTTATTTTTTAAGCACATGTAGAGAAGTTAAATATAAAATTCTAGGTTTGTTAATCCACGCAGCTGGCATTTTTTAAGCGACTTACTTCGTTATATTTTCTATATTGTTATGAAAAAAATTATTTATTTCACTATTTTTTAATATGCGATAGATTTTTGAAATTTAGATTAGAAATCTAGTTCACAGCTGTCACGGATATTCCGGAGAATTGTTTCCTGTCTTTCTCCTCTCCAGGCCAAATATATAATTAATTGTAACTGAGGAAAGATAATTTTAATTTTTGTTTCATTTTTGGCCTTGTTATAATATTATAATTCTAAAAAAGTATGTTTTTTTTTTTTTTTTTTTTTTTTTTTTTTGTGTTTAACTAAACATGAAATTCTATTTTTTTTGGACACAATTAAAGATTGAAATTCTTTTTTGCTTTGCGTAAACAAATAACCCATTTATTTTTAAACTAAAATGAAATCGTGAAATTTTTTTTGTTTACTAGGGTATAAAATTAAACACATTATTAGTCCTAAATGGCTTTGTCTCTGAAGGACTATTGTTTTCGTTTTGCGATTTTGCGTTGAATTAAATTAGAATAAATGGCGAATCACTTTTCAAACTGTTGCCACCAAATGTTAGAGTCCTGCAATATATATTTTAAGAAATTAAATAATGAAAAATCTGCATAAATGTATGTATATTTCTCGCATTGTGATGAAACAACGGTACATAGAGCCATATAATTTTGAATGACGTAAACCTCCTACTAATATGGGCACGTGGAAGACCAAATTTGAAATTTGGAATTTATTTTATTATCGATTTCATATTTTGTAAAGCTTTAACGAATTTTTGATTAACAAACTCAAAGATTTTAAAGCGAACGATGCCAACGCTTTATAGAAAAAAAACATTTTTATCTTCAGCGCGTAAGACTCTGTATCGGAAATTCTAAAGATATGGTCATTTTAAAATTATTTTGCGTCATTGCTATGAATTTTATGGTTTAAGTTCAAAGAACATGATATTTAATAAATAAAGGTAATGCACAGAACGTTAAAAAAACGCCTCTTTGGCCGTAATTTAAAATCTGAAACCTTTAGATTTTTTTTTCCGTTTTTAATTCTGCGGTACTAAATAAAAATTAAATGAAAATTCATAATCACCTTATATTCAATTAAAGCCAAATTAATTAATTATTTTTTAACATAAAATAATAAAATTACTTACAGAACGAAGAAAGAGCAACAGCACGACGTACAATGTACAACTATTTTCCCATTAACGTTTATAGCCACTCTTTATAAGTACGTAACTAACTTGAGAACTTTTTAAAAGTGCATGATATACTGTATTATCTTTTAATATTATTGTAATCAACAAAAGCGTTAAAAGTTAATTAGCAGCAGGTAGGTTAACTAAACCTAGAAAGACGAACAAACGATTGGATAGTTGACGTTTCGAATCTCTGGAATTCAGAAAGCTGGAGTTATACTATCTATATGCTTCATTTAACTCAAAAAAGTGACACAGAGCCATTATATTACTTTTAACTATTTTCGTATTCCGACAGCGCTGTGATCTCTAACCTGTCAAATAACCATAAGGATATATTTCACACTGTATATATGTTCATATGTACCACATAAGGATATATGTTCACTTAAATAAACTGATTTGCAAATTTCAGATCTGTGAAATTCATTAAAAAATAAATGAACTCTCTTTTCTGAATTTTGAAGTTTGAATCTTTAAGTACCTTTCTGTGGAAGCAAATTTTATGTTTTCAAATGAAAATCTAAATTTTCTAGTGATCCAAAGCGTGTAAAGTTAGTCAGTGTAGATTATTATTTAGAAATGTATTATTTAGAAATTCACATCAGCTTTAAAAATCTTACGTATTTTGCGAAGCATTTGCAAAACTGTCTCGAATTTTAAGCACCCCTTGATTAAAGATTTACTAAAAATCTGTCTTTATCTCGCAAAATACATGAACCATGACTTGTATAAAGAAAAAATGATTTAAACATCTTTGGATTGACCAAGTGACGAATTATATCAATTTGTGAAAAGAAGATTCCATTTTATTTCATCAAAAATATTTGCGAAAATTATGTTTTAAGAATATTTATATTTTCGAACGTTATTTCAAAACAAAGAAACAGTTTTAAAGTATTTATTTTAAGTAAGAGAACTGAAGCAATATTTTTATAGAAATACAGAATCAGCGCATATGCATTTTATAATATTGGCACATACGTATAAAAAATTCTGAAACTGATTTTTATTGACATCATATATTTTGCGGAAAATTTACATATGGATATATAAAGTAAAATAGATTACAATCTGAGCAATCAATTTTCCCTTCATAGATATAAAATTTGAGTACATTAATTAATTTACAAATAAGCAATCAACAGAGAATTTTTTGTATTATTTTAAATGAGAGTTTAAACTCAAAGTAATTTACACACTTAAATGGCGCTAGACATTTTGCCGCCCGATGCAAAGGCCCACCATCGGCTGAGAGTTCGGTCCACGTTTCGAATCCTGACGAACGTGTTGGCTGCATTGGCGTTTTCGTGGTTTTTTTTTTATGTGTAACGTGTACACCAGCCAGTCTTCCACGAAGGTATTCCTCCCTTTACACAGAGAGCCCTCGAGTGCTTTGCCGCAATCAAATAAACCAAATCGCCCAATGCAATCTCTGCAGCTTCAATACTGGCCCACTTGTACACCTATCTGTATTCAAAATTTTGCCACCTCTAAATTCCGTCGCCTACTGCTGCTCTACCGACTTTGGTGCCGATGTTGTTTGCATGAAAACTGAATTTTGTTCATTATAAAACTTCAGTCATGTAACTATTAAAATGAGGTCCATGCTGCTTTTGTGAACAGAAATATTGAATTTACTTTATCATTAAGGTTTATAAAAAATTCAAAAGGGAAATATTTTCAAATGGGATAAAAAAGAGCTTTTCAAGTATTCAAAATTGAAAAATACAATTTAAACAATGCAATGAAAACGATTTGTAATCTTTCCATGTTTCGATATTATATTATTTTGATGTTAGAAATGGATACCGGTTTTTATTGGTATCAGTGCGACTTCAGTGACGATTAACTCATCTTTTTTATTTTTATCTATTGTTATTTTAAAAATTGCTGCTGACATCAAAAAGCCATCATTTCATTCATCCTTTCCAGATGAATATTGATTAAAAAATTCATGATGTTTACTTTTAATGTTCTGTTAAAATATAAATTTCAATAATGCAAAACCATTTTTGTAAACACGTGAAAATAGCAAACAGTTAACAGGAAACTTAATTGTTAAAACTTGCAATTGATTTTTCATAAATGGGATAATTTCTTAAATAATTAGCGTTAAAATTGTTTGAACACTTTATATAAGTTTTTGGAAGAATGAAGAATAGCATTCACGAAAAAGCTCGCAATTAATTATCTGAATTTCAGATCATGAAAAAGATACCTTTTAAGGCATTTAACTTAATCGAAATTAATGAATTACTTTCAAAGAAGTTTGGAGATGCTTTGTGCCATCAAAACTAAAGACTACAATTCGGTATTAAACAAGGCTTAAAAGCCGAACTGTTTGGTTCCTTAAAATTTCTTTCAAATAACAGCTATTCATAACAGAAGCTACGAAATTTATGAGGAATAGTTTATGGAGATACTTTAACAGTGCTAAAAATGAATAAACAAAAATTTAGCATACGTAATCTGGTTTTCAAATAAAATTCATACATAACACTAAAACTGCAATTTTTAATTAATTATCTTCTTTTTAGCCTTTTTATGCATATTTACATTCCTTACTTCATAAAAAATAGCATGCTACTTAATAATAAATAATTATATTTAATACTTCCTTTTTATATCAAAAGAATTCTTAAGTGTTCCATATTATAGATTATAGATTTTTAGAAGGCATGTACCATTTTTAAAATTATTAAATTATTTTCTTTGAGAATGTTTGTTTCTGAACTTTTGTCAAAATTAAGTTCTTAAATTTAATTTATGTTAATAATTGTAAACATTGATTATTCTTTACGTAATATAATAGTATCAAGCCTCTGTTAAATAGTTATTATTGTTCTTATTATAATAATGCTATTTTGTTTGTACCACATTTTTTGCAGTATGCAGAAACTTTAAGATAAATTGTTAATATATCTTTCTCGAAAACTCTTCTTGTACTCTTTTTCATTTTTGATTTATGTGGAAAAAAAATTCCTAATATTTTGAGATAGGCGGATTTAATCAAAAACGGACACTACTGACCTAGATTTTGCGGCGCCCGAGAGTCTAGACATTCATACTTTATAAGATTATAAGGCCCGTATTCGATTCTTTGTCAGGCAGTTTCGAAAAATTACATGCATATTTCTTTTTCTACTACGACTATCAGAGTTTTCTCACCTGTTGTGCGTTCTCCGACAGATCAGTTGCGTATTCCTTTGGCAAATTCTTTATGAATGAGATTGGGATGCGGCGTCCGGCGTGTCCGGACGCAGCTGGACGAAACGAGACCTGATCGCTGTAATCGCTATCTACCGTCTTTCACTTGCCGCCTGGATGAAGGGGTATTGTGGCAGCCGGATTTTTCCACGCAAGCGCTGTGGATGTTGCGGCGCCTGCGTGGCGATGCTTCAAACTGCCTTGTCTACCGTAATTCTGTTTGGGGTTTACTGTTCCTGCGATGACAGTTACCCGAATGTTAATTTTACAATTCGAAGGAAAATTCAGTTTTAGTATAATTTTATTCTTCTCTTGTAATAATTGGAGATTTATTTTAGTTGAAATTTATCTGTATTTTGTGATAAATACTGCTGGTGTTCCCATAAAATACGTTTTAGAAAACGTCTGTTTGTTCAAACCAAGTTTAAATGAAAATTGTTTGAGCATTTTTGTGATTTTAATGATTGCTGATGTTTTATTTTATTATGAGCGGAAGTACCCGATGCCAGTAAAGTTAAATTGAGAGTAATGTATCTAAAACAACAGAGAGAACGATACTGCTTGCTGTAATCCTTCTGTAATAACGATGCAAAATATACGATTCATAATCATACATTTTTCAGTCTGATGCTATATGGAACCCACGTAAGAAATTTCGATCGAAAAATAAACTAATTCTCTCTCATTATATCAGCAGTAATGGCACGCAGTTGTTAATGATTTTCGTCTTTTTAATCAAACGGTCTTAAAAACTGAAATTTCAACCTATATTCCATTTCAGTCGATTAAATGTGGCAAAAAATGTATCATAATTGATTAGAAATCAGTAACACGAAAAAACACAAGAACATGACATTCTTCTTTATATAGAGAGATTTTGTAAAACTTACAAATGTTTTATTAACAAACTCTACGATTTGAAAGCGAGCAAAAGCAACACTTTTCGAAATCAAGCCTTTTTATCTCCAACGCGCGAGACTGTTGCCGTTCGGAAAAATGAGTGCGAAAATAATATTTTTTAATTATTTAATTAATAATAATTTTTTAATTAATATCTCGGTTGATTAAAGTCGTACGAAGATGGGAATAGTCGAAATGGTTTCGCACGAGTTTTTGGAATTGGAAATAATGTATTTAATGTTTGGCAATGCTATTTTCATTTAGTAAAACTTAGAAATTTTTTATTAACAAACTCTAGGATTTGAAAGCGAGCAGTGGCAACAACTTAAGCAACGAAACTAAAGCAGATTTTCATCTCCAGCTTGCGAAACTGTTGCCACTGGGAAAAATGAAAGCGAAAATGATCGTTTTCCCGAGTTTTTAATTAACATTTCTGATTTTAGCCCCTTTTTTTTGTGGGAAAAACGTGAAAATTGACCTTCTCCATCACCCAGAAAAGAATCGTAGAAAGTTTGGTGACGATAGCTGTAGTAGTGACTGAGTTAAAGGACAAACAAACATACTTTCTTCTTTATATATATATATATAACCTTTCTTTCAGCAGCTGTTCAAGCGAGTTTCGTTTTCTACTGTACAATCGATTATTGTTTTGCCATTACGAGTATAACAATGTTTACCTGTCATTTGGGATTTTGTTGTTATGAAAGTAAATTTATTCACTTTGCCCTTTATAATGCCATTTATTTAAATGGAGGATTAGATGTACACAATGGATCGCACATAAGGAAAGTACATAATTTTGTGCCTATTTTATTTGAAGGGTTCTGCGATTCCTATATTGTTTCCTTTCTTATTAGAAGATTATAAAGCAGTTTGATATGGGAAGAATAATTCTGCAGAAACAAAAAGTGATGGATGAGTTTTTGTCGGTAGCAGGTATCGAATATTGTGATACTATGTATTGCATCTCTGACTATCGTTTTGTAAGAGCTTTACACATTTTATATCAGGTGGTTTTTACAGATGAGGCATGGTTTCGTCTGATGACTATATCTGTAACAAAAATTATCGAACATAGAGATTTGAGAACTTGGATTGTTTGTCGACGTTCCTCTGAACCTAACTGAAACTGGGTTCATGTCAGGGCGACGAATAACCAGTCTCTTATTTTTTGAAAAACAAATGGACACTGAAGTCTACCAAGATACTGTGTAGCTCATTCCTGTACTGCAGGGAGTATGCATTAGTTTTGGGTATAGCTAGATCAGGTGTTTTTAACCAGGAAGAAATTCCCGCCTGATGGGCTTTCATAGTTTCAAGGGGGAATGGGGGTGTGCCTTTTTTTTATTCCTTCAATATTTAGTTTTAGCTTATGAATAAAAAAAACTACGTTTATTCAAATTTTAGTATTTATTAACATTTTCCTTATTTTGTCCTTGTGTATAAAAGATATTAAAAATAATTAATATTTAAAAAAATGTATGCATGTTTTTCGAGTTTGGAAAAGAAGGGGCAAAATGATCGCATAGCAACGATGAAAGGGATGATTGGAGCAAAAGCGTTTGAGAACCACTGAGCTAGATTGTGCGACACGTTCGTACAGCAGATTCCAACATCAAGATATAGAGGAGACTGTTGATATCAGAATTATATTTAAGGGGTGTTGGAACCCCAAAATCTTCAAAAAATTGTAATTTCGGATTTTTGCATTTTCAAATTCTCTACACTTTTATCTTTCTTAAAATACCATTCTTTAATCTCTATGAAAATTAGAAATGTAAAAAAATCTAGTTTTAATTTGTCATCTACTGCTTTGATCAATGAGGATTTTTACATAAAAACGCGTTTTTCTCCAAACATGATTTTTTTTAATACTCGATATACCTTTTCTCAGGAACTATTGCTCACAGGTATCTAAACTTTTTATGGCTTATTTATTAGGTTCCCTAATATTTACTGAAATGAGCTTTTTGTAATAAACGTAGAAAAAAAATTCTTTAATTTTTTTTGTGTGAGAAAAGTGCTAAATTTTACTATGCCTAACAAAATATTCTGTAACTCTAAAATTCAAAATGTTTAAAAGCTCATTTCAGTATAATCAAATAGGTATACTTTAATTACAGAAAAATTTCAAGCTTGTATTGTAAGGATCCTAAGTTTTACTAACGTTTATTTTATTTTAAAACTGTACTATCACTTCTTATTTTCTACTTATGGCCAGAATTAAATGATTTAACTTGTTTATGCAAATTGTCTTGCTAACGCCCAAGTACTTAAGTTGTGGCTTTTTGACGAGAGAGAGAGAGAGAGAGAGAAGGAGTTTTAGGAAGCAAGCCGCTTGCCACTGTAGTTACGAGTTTTCACTCGGTTTCTGGTTGCCTTTAAGGCCAGAGGTTTAGCCCTCTTGATATTTGCAGACGTATCGTAGTTTCAGCAGCTCGGCGTACTACATACGTACCTTTCTTAAATAAAGGCCAGTCTTAGTGCTAGGCATTTGTATACTAAATAAAAGTTAGCTTTTTAGTTAGAGTTTTAGTTAGTAGTTTTTATATTCTTACGCTCAAATCACAAGTGGTTGGTCTCTGTATTCCGAAGTTCGGAAGTGCCTGTAAAAGATTGAAAATAAGGGGTTTCGTATACCCTTCCTGCTTGTGTTGTCTACTTCACACCTTCTTGAACATAGCTTGAGTAAGCTCCCTGTTCCTATTCAGGATCATTCATGTTTCCAACGCAAAACAAGAGAAACACAAGTCCTGACAGTATCTACAGCAGATTTTGAGAGAAAAGGTACATCAAAAATGGCCAATTTAACATTGTCGGTATAGGGTTTTCTGATACCCCTTAAAGTCTGTTATCATTATCATTAACATTATAAAGGCACAGCCCCGATCCTCCTAGGCGGCATAAGCCGGCCGTATGATCAAAAATTGGGACTGGCCAGAAAAAAACAAATACAAGAAAAAACAAAAAAGGTCCAAATCTGAGTCTCATTTTCGAATTCCAGTTCTATCTTTGTTCGTCTTTATAATTTTCATTATTGTCTCTGCAAAATCTTTCAAATTTGAATAGTTCCTTTTAAATTCTTCCTTATATTTCTCTTTTGCACTCCGGGTAAGCGTATATTCATCGGCGATGTGCCTGGCGTCCCCAAACTAGTCACATATTAAGCAATTATAATTATTTTGTAGATAGAACCGATTAAAATAAGTTGGGAAACCCCCATGATTAGTCAGTACCTGATTTAAATCAACATTATTTATAATATTCATCTTCTTGTTTAACTTTATATTTTTAATTAAATGTTTTTTCTTATTAGACGACTCCCAGCAAAAATTCCAGTCTGTATAAATCCAGTTTTCCATTTCAGCAATGTTCTTGACTCTTGGATGTCAAAATTATCCTTCCCATCCTCAAGTGCCACCATTTTATCAAGGGTGTCTGCCCTTTCATTTTCGACAATTCCACTGTGTGCTTTCACCCAGATCTAAAGTCTATAGCCAACTATAGATCTTGAACTCAGACCATGTACAATTTTTTTGGGGGGGGGATACTTTTCAAATTATGCGTATAAACAACACACGGATCTAGGGAGAGTTAAATAGCACTGCTATCATATTAATATTGCTATCATAAAATATTGTAAATAAAGAAACTTCTTAAAGTTGCTTGGAACATGACGAAACGTGTAGAAAAATAGGTAGAATTGGGTGGAAGTCATTTCGAACATATGCCGTTAAGAAATACGTCTCATAAATATGTATATATTGTGTCTACGAAGAGTTCACTTTTAAAGTGAACACTTTAAAAGGGAATTTATAAACACTTTTAAAGTGAACACCCTCTATCTCTCTATATACATTTGATCGCTATTCCAAGACTCACGCTTCACATGATAATCAGTTTTTCGCTTGTTCTCACTTTGAAATAATGCCATATTATGCCATCACAAGCCATGAAATTGTTATCTGTTCCACGCAGGATGAGGAGCCTGATTCAAGTGTTCTCTTGCATTTAAGTCTTGATAATGTAATATAGAATGGTGCACAGCTGAATTCCACTCCTCGTTAAGAGGATCTGCTTATTATCTAGGCCCACAAAATCCAGGCTTAGGGCCCCAGAATTTAGTGGGCTTCCAAATCAACATAAAACTTTTTATAACTCTGTTTTCTCTCATGAAAACAGAGGAAAAGTTGTTTTC